TCCAATATCCACTATCGATCTCAATCCCATCTCTCCAATATCCACTACCGATCTCACTCTCATCTCTCCAATATCTACTACCAATCTCTCCCCCCTCCAATATCCTCTACCAATCTCACCCCCCAACCATATCCTCTTCCAATCTCTCCCCCCCTCACCAGTATCCACTACCGATCTCACCACCCCCTCTCCAATATCCAAAACTGATCTCACCTTCCCTCCACCAATATCCTCTACCGATCTCACTCACTCACCCTCTCCAATATCCACTACCAATCTCACTCTTCCCTCTCCAAAATCTTCCAACGATTTCACCACCCCCTCTAATATTCTCTACCGATCTAACCCCTCCCCATCCATTACCCCCTCTGATCTTACCCCCCTCTCCAATATCCTCTACTGATCTCACTTTCCTGCTCTCCAATACCTCTAACGATCGCACACCCCTGTCCATTACACCCCCACCAATCTCATTCCCCCTCTCCATTACCCTCTCTGATCTCAATCCACACATCAATTCTGCTCTCTCTTTCCTATCCCTTTCTCTCCCTCGCTTCCTCTGTTCATTCTTTCCTCCGCACTACCACTGTCCATTCGCCTCTCTCTCCCTTCCCATCTCTCTCTTTCTCCCCCATCCATTCCCCTATCTCTTTCTCAGCTCCTCTGACATTCCCCTCCCCCTCACTCCCTCTGTCCCTTCACTTCTCTGTCTCCTTCACTCTCTTTGTCCATTCCTCTCTCTATCCCTCACTCCCCTTGTTCATTCATGTCTCCCTCACTCACTCCCTCTGTCCATTCATAAAGTCAGAGAGGCATACAGCATGGAAACAGACCGTTCTATCCAACTAGTCCATGCCGATCATGTTCTGAAACTAAACTAGTCCCACTTGCCTGTATTTGGCCCATATTTCTCCAAACCTTTCCTATTGACATACCTGTCCAAATGTCTTTTAAATGCTATAACTGTACCTGCATCTGCTACTTTTTCTGACAGTTCATTCCACATTTGAATCATCCTCTGTGTGAAAAAGTTGCCCCTCGTGTTCTTTTTAAATCTTCCTCCTCTCACCTTAAAAAACACCCCCTTGTTTTGAACTTCCCCACCCTAGGGAAAAGACTTTTGCTATTCACATCATATATGCCCCTAATGATTTTACAAACCTCTATAAGGTTCCCCCCTCAACCTCCTATACTCCAGGGAAAAAGTCCCAGCCTATCCAGCCTCTCCACTTAAATCTTCCATAACCGGCAACATCCTGGTAAATCTTTTCTGAACCCTCTCCAGTGCAATAATATCCTTCCTATAGCAGGGCGACAAGAACTGTACACAGTGCTCCATAAGTGGCCTCACCGATGCCTAGTACAACAGAAACATGACGTCCCAACTCCTATACTCAATGGTCTGAACAATGAAGGCAAGCATTCCTCCTTCTCTCTCCCTCTGTCTGTTACCCTCTCTCTCCCTCATTCCTTCTGTCCTTCCCCTCTCTCTCCCTCACTCCTGCTTTCCATACCCCTCTCTCTTCCTCTGTTTGTTGCTCTTCCCTCATCTCTCTCTCCCTCTGTCCTTTCCCCTGTCTCCCTCCCTTCCCCTCTCTCTTGGTCCCTCTGTTCATTCCGTGCTCTCCCTCTATCCATTCCTCTCTCTCACTCCCTCTCTCCATTACCACCCCCCCACTCTGTCCATTCTCCTCCCCAGCCCCGGCCATTTCACGATCTCTGCACCTTTCCCTCTGTCCCTCACTCCCTCTCTCCACTGCCCCCCTCACTCCCTCTGTCCACTCCTTTCTCTCACTGTCTATTCTACTCTATCCCTCACTCCTTCTGATCTTTCCCCTTCCTGTCTCCTTCTGTCCATTCTCTTTTCTCCCTCCCTCTATCCATTCCCCTCTCTCCCTTCTTTCCTCCCTCGTCTCCCTCTGTCCATTTCACTCTCTCTCCCTCCTTCCCTCTGTCGACTGCCCTCACTCCCTCTGTCCATTTCCCTCACTCCCTCTGTCCCTTCCCCCCTCTCTCTCTCCTTCTGTCCATTCCACTCTCTTTGCCTCACTCCTCTGTCCATTCCTCTCTCGCTGACCCTCTGTCCTTTCCCCTCTCACTGGCCCTCTCTCAATTCCTCTATTTCTCTGTCCCGCACTCCCTCGATCCATTCCTCTCTCTCTCTCTCTTTCTCTCACCCCCTCACTCCCTTTCTCAATTCCTCCCTCTCTGTCTCTCTTCCTGTCCATTCCTCCCTCTGCCTTACTTCCTGTACAGCCCACCCCCCACTGTTCGTTGTTCCCCTTTCTTATTCCTTCTGTGCTACCCCCCTGCCTTTTTTCCTTCTGTCCTTAATGTCCTCCCTCCCAGATCCCTCTGCCACAGTTGTTTTATTGGATTGAATACCAGGCGGTTCATGTATGCGAGGACTTCCGTGGCCCTGTCTTGGTTTGCCCTCAGTCGATCTGTAGCATTATTCAGAGAGCAATTTATTCCCAGGACCTGTGAAAAGACAGAGTTACTGAGAGCAGCTGGACTGTCAGCTTGCTGACCCACACCAACTCCTGTGCAGCCTGACCTGGGAGAGGAGGCCAGCAGTCAAAGACACAAACCCTGAGAGTTGCACTAACAGGAACAGTACACAGCTAAACATATTATCTGGCAACTGAAGGCAGGGCCTACACTTTGCTATTTCAACAGTGATCATTTCTCAAAGACATTAGATTAATTGAAATAACAAGGTGTAGAGCTGGATGAACACAGCAGGCCAAGCAGCATCAGAGGAGCAGGAAGGCTGACATTTCGGGCCTAGACCCTTCTTCAGATTACTTGAAGGTGTGTCACTGCTGATCCTGATCTTCCTGTCACACAAAATTCACTTTCTAGCTGCAATCACCGAGCAGGAACAGAGTCTTTTAGAGTCACCGGTGAATTGAGGAGAAATGTAATGTCCCTGAACTGAGGTGACTCAGGCCAGGAGCTGCCCACTTTGTCTCCAGCTTTCTCAGTTTTACATCCTGTTTATTGTTATTCTTTTAGCTTCCCCCCTTGAACTGCAGCCTGCAAACCCAAACACTCTGCTCTGAATGATGAGTTGGTCTGTCTCCCATTTAACAGGCAGAGACAGATTGCATCAAAAATAAAAATATTAAAAGTGGTAGCAGGCCATTCAGCCTTCGATGCCTGTTCCGCCATCCAATATGATTCATAGATTGCAGAAAAAGCCCTTCAGCCCATCGATTCTGCACTAATCCCAATTTCCTGCACTTGTCCCATATCCCTGAATGTCATGATATCTCAAGAGCTCATCCAAAGGTTGTAAGGTTTTTGATCATCCAACTCGGTACCTTGTTCCTGCTTTTTCCTCATAACCTTAGATCCAATTAGTCCTAAGAACCATATCTAACTCCTTGTGTTACGGAATGTTTCGGTGCTGACAATGTACTCACTGGCTCAGTAAAGGCAGTGGTCACTGCTGAAATGTGATAGTATGTGCTGATCATGGTCGGAATGTAGATTTTAGCTTCCAAATCTTCAGCTGGAAAACAGCCCAGGTTTTTGATCTAAAAACACAAATTAGGCATGATAAAGTTTGCAGACTCATGAGACAATTCCACATAGACGCAGATAGCCTGCTACGTGCCCTGGGAACCACATTCAAACACACTGGCACATCGGCAGCTACTCATTGTTTCAAAGGAAGGGAAGCGAATGTTAAGTTGCAGCTTTGCAGAGCACCCACATTGTGTCAGCTTTGCCTGGGATTGACACAGTTTGCTTTCAGCTTTCCAGCCAGGATCAGCATCATCGAGAATGGGCCATGGAGAAGATTTGTCCCTGGGTTCAGGGACCGACAAAGAGAAACACAGCGAATACACTGTCGCCACACTGACTGTTTGATTCGTTCCATAAACGTTCTCAATCTTTTTCCCTCTTCTCCAGCCATTGCCCTTTACTAGAGTACATGTCCCTTATTTCCTTAGCCCCATGTTCCAGCTACAGCAGCCATCTAGCTACTTGCCCAAAAGGAGGGTACAAACCTGGAGCTTGAGAACAATGCTATCAGTGTGTCAGCCGTTGTTTACAGTAACTGAATGATGGAACTGGCTTGAGGGGGTGAATGGTCTCCTCGTTTCCATCCTTACAGGGACCACGAGCAGTAGAACCACACTCAGCTGAGTTACCCACACTGATCCAGGCACTGTCATACCCTCTGGCCTTGCCCATGGGACCTGGTTAGGAACAGGACCATTCCAGCAGCAGAAAGCTCAGCATCACATAGGGGCTTGCATTTACTGACTGAGCCAGGGTTAGTGTTGTGTGTGGCTTTAACTGTCTTAGAATCCCTACAGTGTGGAAGGAGGCCATTCAGCCCATCAAGTCCACACTAACCCTCCAACAGCATCCCACCCAGATACACATCCCTACCCTATCTCTGTAAACCTGCATTTACAATGGCTAATCCACCTAACCTACACATCCCTGGACACTTTGGGTAATTTAGCATGGCCAATCCACCCTAACCTGCACACATTTAGACTGTGGGAGGAAACCGGGGCACCTGGCGTAAACCCATGCAGACATGGGAAGAATGGGCAAATTCCACACAGACAGTCACTCAAGGGTGGTATTGAACCCAGGTCCCTGGTGCTTTGAGGCAGCCGTGCTAACCACTGGTGCACCATGCCACCCTGTCAACATGACATTCTCATATTTCGAACAATCCCTGTCACAGAGAGGGATGATGATTGGGTAAAGGCCTGTGATTCCCAGAACACAGAACGGGCAGCGCTGGGGGTCCAGGAGGGTACAGACCCTTCTCGTTCTCCCTGCCACGTACCACAGTGTCAGGCAGCATTACCACAACAACCACCAACCACAATAGCAACTAGAAACACAGAAAAGGTTGGTTTAACCATCAGCAGCGACACAGTCTGACAGTTTAGCATGTTGTTTGGCCATCTCTACCTTGAAGGTGTGATTAAACTCCGGAAGGATTTCTTCAGGTACTGACTCTGTGGCTGGCTGCATCTCATAACGCTGGAGACTGGATTCACTGCCGGGAGAGAGCAACTTGTTTTAACAGCAACATTGCTCACACATGCTTTTGTAACATCAATTATTATATTCTAAGGCACTACTTTAAACTTTCTGCCCTTGGCAGCCAGATTGGAATTACAATGAAACAGGCTGCACAGCCCAGTGGGTCTGTGCTAGTATTTATCCTCCACACAGACAGGCAACATCTGCATTCCCTCTTGTTCCCCTTTCCCTGAATTCCTTTAACATTTGCCTTCACTCACTACTGTGCTGTTACAAACCACATATTCAATCTCCTGTGCTCCATCCTAAAGTTGCACATTTAACCCTGTATTTTACATTCCTTATTCTTGATTGAGATTCCTTCATCATTGCCAACAACCTTTAGCTACTCTGTTCCTTCTCTTCATAACGTTAAACAGTTTGATCAGATCATCCTCACTGTCAAATAAAAGAAATCTTTATTGATATTTGCTTTTCTTCAAAGCAGGAAGTTTCCTGGCGAACCTTGCGCAGATTTGGTGACAGAAGAAATCTCCCATTGCACTGACCCTCTAACATTGTTCACAAGTCCCGGCCTCCGTAGAGCTCCCAATACTCAGCTGGTTGTGTTTTCCTGCACGGTTGCTATTCTGAACCCTCTCTAAGTGAGTGTCTGTGGGACTACATGGCTGTGACACCTTTGGGCTCTTCACAATGCGACATGAACAAACTGCAGAGAGTTTAAACACATCCATTGCTTCCAACCACAGGTTAAAGAACGCAGTGAAAAGGGACTCCTGCAGATGCTGAAGATCTGAAATAAGAACAGAAAGAGCTGTAAAAGCTTAGCCGAGCTGTTCTGATAGTGGTCCTAAGGGCAGCTGTGATGGAAGGTGGTGAACATGAAAATCTATATTTCTCTCCACAAAGGCTGCCTCACTTGCTGAGTTTTTCCAGCATTTCCTCATACTTCAGATGACTGACCTCCATCCAGCATAAACAGAATACTGCGGCAGCTGGAAACCGGAAACATAGGAAGCCCTCAGCCATTAAGGCTGTGGGTGGCGGGGGGGAGCAAGGTTCAGGTTGGAAGCTTTCTTTAGGAGTCAGATATTACAGAATTTACAAAGAGAAAGCAAAAGGTCAGACACAGAGAAAGGAACTGAATAACCTAGAAGGTGGGGATTGTCACCAAAACCGGACTCATCTCACTTTCATTAAATAAGTAAATGCTAGAAGGACGCAATAGATCAGGCAATGTCTGAGACAGAAAAGGCAACTCCAAGTTTCTGACACTGATATCGTCCACCTGCTACGAACTTGCTGCCTGCTTTTGTTGCGGCTTATCCGGAAGGGTTTAACTGATGACAGTGTCAGTGTGAGGGAATGACAATCTTGGTGCTAGCACCTACCTGGTGAGGAGAAGATCTGCTTCATACCGGACAACTGCCCGGAGGTAGACTGCATTATCATTGAGTGTCTCATTCAGCTCAGTACTGTCACTGCAAAATGAAAACATTTTCAATAACACTGGAGTGAGTCCCTGAAGCCCCAGAGACACAGAGCCAGACCAGGAGGTCAAACCTAATGTACCTCCTCCCCTCAGAACTGCAACATCCCTCAAAGCCAGCTCTTTGGACTGAGTGAGGAAGTGAGTAAAATACATTGGCCAAAACTTTCTATTGAAAGTACAGAAGGCAATGAGCAAGTCACTCTGAGGTTTCAGCACATCTCTGTGTAGTCAGACTGAGAGCCTCCAGAACTTGCTACGGGGCAGGGAGAAGGGAATGAGGCAAACAAATAAACAGCGCAGATAATACATTCCTCAGCTACTGAGAAACCAGCATACAATCCTTGGTCACAAGGAGCTCCTGCTCTGTCACTATCTCAGAAGCTGTAACGGCGATCTGAAGGAATGTTGGAGCACAAAGTGCTTAATGGAAGGGCAAATGTTTCCTCTTCATCTACGCTCCTGACAGACAAGGGATCAGCCATGATTCAGCATGTTAGCTACGACAAAAGCTTACACTTAATAGCACCCTCCCCACAGAGAAACCTTGATAAGTGCTTCAGGTGAACATGAATTGGATGAAAGCTTTGACACCAAGCCATGTAAGGAGTCATTATAAAGCAGAATAAAGGGAGGTAAAGAGAAAGCCACATGGGGTCAGGGAGGCAGCTTAGGGCCTGGACAGGTTGCGTAAAGGTTCACTGCTGGGAGAGTCAGGGAGTGAAAGTCCAGTACTCAGAGGGTCAAGGAATGAGGGTCTATTACTCGGAGGGGCAGGGAGTGAGGGTCCACTACTCGGAGGGTCAGGGAGTGAGGGTCCGCTACTCGGAGGGTCACAGTGTGAGGGTCTGCTACTTGGAGGGTCACAGAGTGAGGGTCCAGTACACAGAAGGTCAAGGAATGAGGGTCTGCTACTCAGAAGGTCACAGAGTGAGGGTCCGCTACTCGGAGGGTCACAAAGTGAGGGTCTGCTACTCAGAGGGTCACGGAGTGAGCGTCCACAACTGAGACAGGGAAGGTCCACTCATCAGGGGAGTGAGACTGACTTCAGGATCGGGGAAGGGTCAGGGAGAAAATCACTGAGAGAGTCAGGGAGAGAGTGAGGGAGAGACAGTCAGGGAGATAGAGTCAGGGAGAGAGAGAGAGACAGGGAGAGAGAGACAGGGAGAGAGAGAGACAGGGAGAAAGAGTCAGAGGGAGAGAGTGTCAGGGAGGGACAGTCAGGGAGAGAGAGTCAGGGAGAGAGTCAGGGAGAGAGTCAGTGAGTACATAATGGAAGAAAGTTATGAATGCTTCATGTCATCTGACCTGGTAACACTGATGTAGAGCTCCACATCATCCAACAGGAGCGAACAATGGAACTCAAACTCCATACGGAAGGAGACCTGTGTGCAAAAGAAAATGCTTCATTTAACAAGTTAGATATGAAGCCCCATTCACTTCACAACTCAATGAAAGATGCATTTCCCATTTTAGCGCGGTTTCCATCATTCCCTCATTCAATCTTGTTCTCTGCTTCCCCTCCTGGCCGAGGAGGCACTCATGGGAGCGATGTTCCACAGGCACCATTGGAATTCAATTCCCCTATTTCAGTAAACATCCTTCCTGCATGAAGTTCGTGGAGGTTATACATCAGCTAGTCAACTGTGGAGGCAGCACCTTATCGAATCTATCCTGAGCCAATTCTACGTGAATGCACCTTCCATTAGGAATGGAATGCTAGCCAATTCCCTTCCCTGGACTCAAGGCATGGGTGATAGACTCCAGACTGTCTTCACCTCGGACCAGGGTCAGCAGAAAATAGTGGATTTAAGGCAGAATTACTCACTGCCTGTAGTGATGTAGGAAATGCACGTTAATACCATCCCCAATGTCTTGCCAAGATCCACCAGTGACCGAGAGGAGGAGACAGCCCAGCTCTGAGCTCCTGCTCTGTCACTATCTCAGAAGCTGTAACAGAGGTCTGAAGGAATGTTGGAGCATCAAGTGCTTAATGGAAGGGCAAATGTTTCCCCTTCATCTACTCTCCTGACAGACGAAGCTTGCAATGTCTCTGTTCTTTGTTCTCGAAGGGTTTACCTGCATTAGAGATCTGAAAACTGGGAAACTGACATTGCAGATTCTGTGGTGTGGCGATAACACCAGACATTCAACCTTATTCTGTGCATCATCCTGAAAGAAATAAGGAACACAGATTCATTTACCACAGGAAATAGTACCCCTCCCACTACCCTGCCCAACCCTCCCATAATCCAAACCTCCCTCCTCTGACCAACCCTCTGCCCGAACACCCTTGGCATACCCCCCGGCCCCGTCCAACAACCCTTACGGCCCTACCCCCGTCCCCCATCCCCCATCCCACACTCCCCCTCATCCAACCCTCTGCCTAAAACCTCCCCACCATTCCACCCCATCCAACAACCCTCCTCACCTCCAACCCTCCCCCTTCCGACACTCCCCCCGCCCCCTGTCCAATCCTCCCGCCAAAGTTTGAACATGACATTATCCTGTTGCCCAAGTTGTTTGAGAGACTGAGTGTTGAGCCATGCCCTGAAAGCTGAAGGAAAGCACTGCAGTACATCCATAACGTCACCACACTGCTTTGACAGGTATTGTTTATAATTTGAGTCAAGTTTCCTGAGTTGTTGCACCAGACTGTCTCCTGATGCCTCACTGCCTGAAGTTTCAAATGAACAAAGTAACATTGCGATTTGAATTGAACTTATCGCCCAAAACTTACGAGATGTCAGTACGCTGTCTACAAAGACATTCAGAGGTCACATCTTAAAAGAGGTGACAACTGGGTTGAGGAGGGGAATAGGGTGAAGTCGATAACGTTGATGTGAAATGTTACTGCTTAAAAGATGATACAATTATAAATCTCCCCTCCCCCTACCACATCCCAAAACCAGCCCAGCTCGTCCCCGCCTCCCTTACCTGCCCTTCCTCCCACCTATCCCCTCCTCCCACCTCAAGCCGCACCCCCAACTCTTACCTACCAGCCTCATCCCCGCCCCCTTGACCTGTCCGTCCTCCCTGGACTGACCTATCCCCTCCCTACCTCCCCACCTACACTCACCTTTACTGGCTCCATCCCCACCTCTTTGACCTGTCTGTCTCCTCTCCACCTATCTTTTCCTCTATCCATCTTCTATCCGCCTGCCCCTCTCTCCCTATTTATTTCAGAATCCCCTTCCCCTCCCCCATTTCTGAAGAAGGGTCCAGACCCGAAATGTCAGCTTTCCTGCTCCTCTGATGCTGCTTGGCCTGCTGTGTTCATCCAGCTCTACAAATTGTTATCATACAATTATACAGGTTAGCTGAAGGTAGAACAGCATTGAGGCTGTCTGCGACCTGGCTTTATCTCAGCTAAAAGGGTCAAAAAAGTCAGGGGCTAAGGTACAGTTTTGGGTTAGAGCCCCATAAGTCTGTTTCAGTGTTCCTGCTGTTGAACTCAATGAAACTCTATCCTTCCAAGAGTAGATGTTAGCAGATGTTTTTGTGGAATCCGTCGCAGACAGACAAGGGAGACAAAGGAGGCTGGAAGGACACAGCAGGCCAGGCAGTGTCTGGAGAAAAGGAGAAGGGTAGTACCTGAAAGTCCTGAAGAGGGGTAATACCCGAAACATTGACTGCTCCTTTCCTCCAGATGCTGCCTGGCTTGCCGTGTTCTTCCAGCCTCCTGTTTGTCTACCTTGGATTCCAGCATCTGCAGTCTTTTTGTCTCTAATGCATATGGACAAGACTTGATCTTGCGGGATCAATTTTCAGAGAGTGGCGAAAGGCTATTTGAGCTTTTTTGGAGTGGAAGGAAACAGAGATTGATGGAGATTTCTTGATTCCACTGAGACAACTGATGGTGGAACCCCAGTGGGAGGTATTAGATGAGGAGTGTTTTTGAGTGTGTGGATGGGTATAGCTAGGCAAGGAGAATGAGGAGGAATTGTGCATCTTGGATTTAAGGGTGAAGCGCTATTCGTGTCATAAATGAGAGTTTAGTAACTCTGTGAACTATATAAACATGGCTCGCAGCTGTATGTGGCTCAATGAGTGTGAACAGGACTCTCCTTCACTAAAAGCTAGCCTTGCATCTTTCCCCAAGGAAGCTTTCCATTAGTTTGGTCTAACCGAGTAAATGACCTGGAAATGACGATGTGCTGCCTGACCCATCATAGAGTCACACAGCACAGGAACAGACCCTTCAGCCCAACTCGCACATGCTAACCAGTTTTCCTAAACTGAACCGGTCCCCATCTGCCTGCATTCGGCCCATATCCCTCTAAACCTTTCCTATCCATGTACCTGTCCAATTGTCTTTTAAATTTTGTAATTGTACATGCCTCTACCACTTCCTCAGTCCATACATACACCACTCCCTGGACGAAAATGTTGCCCCTCAGGTCCCTTTTAATCTTTCTCCTCTCACCTTATACCTATGCCCTGTAGTTTCAGAATCCCCTACCCTGGGAAAAAACGTTAGCTATTCACACCCTATCCACGCCCCTCATGATTTTATAAACCTCTATAATGTCACTCCTCAGTCTCCTATGCTCCAGGGAAAATAGCCCCAGCCTGTCCAATCTTGGTAACATCCTTGTAAATCTTTTTTGCACCCTTTTCAGTTAAACAACATTCTTCCTACAGCAGGGTGACTAGAATTGTTAGTGCTCCACATGTGGCCTTATCAATGTCTTGTACAGCGGTAACATGACGTCCCAACTCTTTTACTCAGTGCTATGACTGATGAAGGCAAGTGTGCCAAACGCCTTCTTCACCACCCTGCCTACCTGTGACGCCACTTTCAAGGAACAATGTACCTGTACCCCTAGGTCTCACTGTTCGATAACACTCCTCAGGGACCTAGCATTAATTGTGAAAATCCTGACTTTGTTTGTTTTACCAAAATGCAACGCCTCACATTTATCTGAATTAAACTCCATTAAACCTGCTAATAGTTCATGACGCACGTGAAATGAATCCTCCAAAAGATAGTTAGAAAGAGGAAATTAAGTTTTTTTTTACCCTCACAAGGAGACTGGTGAAGAGCAGGTTTTTAGAAAAGGTCATGTTGAGGCTGGTATTGTAAGCATTTTCTTTCCTGTTTTCCAGCATCACTGTTGCTGATACCCTCTGCCGACTGTTCTTTACAATGTAAGGACTTTGTCTGAAATAGTGATTCCAATTTATTATAAAAATGACAAAAATACATGAACTAAAGAAACACTTGATAGCCCAACAGGTAAATGCAGCTCAGCTTTCATACAAGCTAGGTGTTTGATTCCAGCTGAGTCAATCTCAGCGGAGGTTGTGATCGGACTTAGTACCGGTCAGATTGGGGGGGGCGCAGTGTTAGCATCAGTCCTGCACTTGTTTGTTTCCCAGGAAGGTTCCCTGGGATGGGAGGCAGCAATGCCCTGACTGGCCAGCCCATTCACTAACATTCTCTTTCATGGCTCACAATCGACAGACAGCACAGAACGAGGAAACACAATTCAGTGTTCTTGTTTATCATGGAGGGATGGAAATACCCTTCAGGTTATTCTTTAGCTATATTGGGCATTCATGAGAGCATACCTGGAGTACTGGGTACAGTATTGACCACCTTATTTTAAGGAAGGATGTAAATGCATTGGAAGCAATTTCTGTTGAATGGCTTAGTGACTCAGTGGTTAGCATTGCTGCCTCACAGCGCCAGGGACCTGGGTTTGAATCCACTCTCGGGTGATCGTCTGTGTGGAGTTTGCACATTCTCCCCGTGTCTGTGTGGGTTTTCTTCTGGTTTCCTCCCACAGTCCAAAGATGTGCAGGTTAGGGTGGATTGGCCACGCTAAATTACCCATAGTATTCAGGGATGTGCAGGTTAGGTGGGTTAGCCATGGGAAATGCAGGGTTACAGGGATAGGGTGGGTCTGGTGTGGACCTGATGGGCTGAATGGCCTGCTTCCACACTATAGGGATTCTATGATTCAATTCAGTGAAGTTTCACCAGACTAATGCCTAGAACGGGGTGGGCAATGGTGCTTAGTCTTATGAGGAAAGATTGGTTAGGCTGGACTTGTACCTACTGGTGTTTGGTCATGTGAGCAATGACTTGACTGAAACATATAAGAATCAGAAGGGTCTCAACAAAGCGAATGTGGAGAGGATGGCTCTTCTGATGGGAGAATCTAGAACTAGGGGTGACTGTTAAAAATCAGGGTCTCCTATTTAAAACAGAGATGAGGAAAATTATTTTTCTCTGAAGATGGCGAGTCATAGAGTCATACAGCATGGAAACAGACCAGTCCAACCAGCCCATGCCAAACATAAGCCCAAACTAAACTAGTCCCACTTCCCTGCGCTTGTTCCGTATCCTCCAAACATTTCCTATTCATGTACTTATCCAGATATCTTTTAAGTGTTGTAACTGTACCCACAGCCATGGCTTCCCCTGGAAGTTCATTCCACATACAAACCAGTCTCTGTGTAAAGAAGTTGCCCCTCATGTAGTTTTTACATCTTTCTCCTCTCACCTTAAACCTCTGCCCTCTGGTTTTGAACTCCCCCACCCTAGGAAAAAGTCTTTGGCTATTCACCCTGTCCATGCCCCTCATAATTTTATAAACCCCGATAAGGTCACCCCCTCATCCTCCTACGCTGCTGTGAAAACAGTCTCAGCCTACCCAGTCTCTCCTTAAAACTCAAACCCTCCACTCTCAGCAACATCCTGGCAAATCTTTTCTGAACCCTCTCTAGCTTAATAATATCCTTCCTATAACAGGGAGACCAGAACAGGACACAGTGCTCTAGAAGAGGCCTCACCAACATCCCATACAACCTCAATATGACGTCCCAACTCCTACATTCAAAAGTCTTTAGAACCTTCTTCCTGAAAAGACGGTGGAAGCAGAGCCTTTGAATATTTTTAAGGCAGAGATAGATAGATTCTTATTAGGCAAGGCGGTGAAAGGTTTTCAGGGGTTAAGCGGGAAGATAGATTTGAGGTTACAATCAGATAGACATGATCTTATTGGATAGTGGGGCAGGCTCCAGGGGCTGAGTGGCCTACTCCTGCTCCTTGTTTGCATGTTAGCCATTCAGGTGCCACATTGGTGGGTAGGTGATACCTGTGAAACGTGCACCTCTATCATCAGGAAAGGAATTAGGAAGACAGCAGCTGCCCGCCTTGCTGCTTTTTAAAAAATCACTCATGGCACCCGCGGGGGAGGGTCACTGACCCAGCATTTAATGTACATCCCTAGTAGCCATTGAGATGGTGGTAATAAGCTGCCCTCCTGAACTGCTGCAGTCTACATGGTGCAGGTTGACCCACAATGCCATTAGGGAGGGAATTCCAGGATTTTGACCCAGCAACACTGAAGGAATGGAGATATATTTCCAAGTCAGGATGGCAAGTGGCTTGGAGGTAAACATAACAGTTATTGCAGAGCATAATGATTGTTAATCTCATGATTCCAGCACCAGCAATTTAACAATAAAACTTGACCATAAATTTTTTCTTGCCTAGATCCAGAAATATCCAGGTGTGCCTGCAATGCAAGGTCCGTCAAACATTCATCATCGTCCCCACAGTCTTTGAAGAAGGGAATCTGAAAGTGGGAAGTTGAATACAGGAATATTTCAGCGAACTTCAGAACAAAGCTTTGTGCCTGCCCAGCTTAGAGATACAGTCCAACAGAGACTTACCCAGTTTTTCACTGTAGTTACACAAGTGTCATCCAGAACTGGCCCTGCAGGCTGTTCAGCCAGACTAAACTGTAGTGTGAACCAGATGGGCCGAATGTAGTCAGCTGTATCCTGTGGCAGAAGCAGCAAATGTTGTTAGATTCAAAGCCAGAAAATACCGAGTCTACGCTTTAGACACAGTACGTCTCTGGATCTTATGGCAGATCCCACCACAGATTTTAGACATTGGCATTGTGGCATAATGTCTCACAGAAACTTTCTGAATACACATCAAGGTCAAGGATGTAAGTATATCAGGCAGCTAGTATCAGCAACAAGCAAACTCAGATCAGAAACCCAGCAAAGTCTTTAGTCAGTGTGGAGCTGGAGGAACACAACAGGTCAGGCAGCATCAGAGGAGCAGGAAAGCTGAAGAAGGGTCCTGACCCAAAACATCAACTTTCCTGTTCCTCTGATGCTGCCTGACCTGCTGTTTTCCTCCAGCTCTACACTGTGTTGTCTCTGACTCCAACATCGGCAGTTCTTACTATCTCAAAGTCTTTAGTCAGCCTTTCAGTCTAGGCATCGAGGATTTTACAGCAGCCATTTCAATGTAACAAATGCAGCCTGTAGGGTATAGGTAATGGAGGTGCACTGACACAAATGATCACATAGTATATACACACTGATAGTAGGCCATCATACCCAGTGCCATCTCTACAGCAAACTGGGAGAGCTCTCAGTACTTACAATGACATGAAATTGAAGCTTGTGACATTTCAGGCCATCAGTCAGAATACGGATAACTTCCTCTTTCTGCCTCTGGTCGCTTCCATCAAACAAGGCCCTGGGAGCAAACTTCTTTTCATCCAACACAATGTTATAATATAGATCTGTAACAGACTGGCAGTCAGAGCAATGCAGGCATTGGGTAATGACACTGTTTCTTCTTAAACATTTGATAATCAGTATGAGTGGAGCTTGATTCTAACCAGCATCAACAAGGCATGAAAATGCTGAACAGATAAGACACACTTTCCATAGCCACACGGCAGAAGCTGCTTGTTTCACGTCACGTGTGCAGTATCTCCAGTCATAGACATATCTGAGGACCTGCCCAACTCTCCTCCCCACATCACTGAAGGGTAAACTCACCACCACTTCTCTTTATTCTCTCTCATCACCTCAAACCTGGGCAGCTTTAACCCTCTTTCAGTGTTCCCCTTCTTCCTCCAGTTCAGAAACTTTCAAATATATGCTGGGCCTCAGCTGACCATTATCTCCTGACTGTCCATGTCTTTCCCACACTCTTTCTATCTGTGCTGTGCTCTGTACTGTGACTCATGTCCTTCCTGATTACTCCATTCATTCGCAGGATTTCAGCTTTGCTGGCTGGATTACTGCTAATCCTTAACTGCTCTGGAACAGGTGCTGATGAGCTGTCTTCTTAAATGCTACAGTCCGCTGATGTAGCTACCCTCACAATATTGTTAGGAAGCAAGTTCAGCTGTCTAGTCTTGGACTTCTAGATGGTTATAGTCGTGAGTTTGGAAGATGCTGCCAAAACAGCTTTCGTGGATTTCTGCAGTGCTTCTTGTAGGCGGTATACACTGCTGCTACTGAGCGTCAGTGGTGGACAGAGTGGATGATTGTGGATGTGGTGCCGATCAAGCAGGTTGTTTATCTTGGATGGTGTGAAGCTTCTAGAGTGTTGCTGGAGCTGCACCCATCCAGAACAGTGAAGAACAGTGGAAAACACTGAGGGAGATTCTAAATTCCTCTCCATTAAAGTATATTCCTGGGAGGAAGAGGAATTGTAAGAAAGTGAAAAATCATCCATGGCTTAACAAGGAAATCAAGGATAACATAAGATAAAAACTAGGGCATATTATATTGCAAAAGTTAGTGGCACTCTGGAGGATTGGGAGAACTTTAAACATTAGCAAAGGGTTACTAAAAGCAAAATAAAAAGAACTGTGATGAACTACGAAAGGAAACTAGCAGAAAACCTGAGCACTGATACCACAAGCTTGTATAAGTATATAAATAGGAAGAGAATAGTGAAAGTAAATGCTGGCCCTTTAGAGGATGAAAATGGGTGAGGTAATAATGGGAAACTCAGAAATGGCAGAGGTACTAAACCAATTTTTTGTCTCTGTTTTCACAGAGGAAGATAATAATTTTTTCTTAAAAACTGCAGTTACCTCAGTGGAACTTGGTGGAATTACTGTAACAGGGAGATGGTGTGAAGTAAACTGATGGGATTAAAGGCAGGTAAGTCCCTGGGGCCCAAAAGTCTGCACCCTATGATATTAAAGGAGGTGGCAACAGAGACAGTGGATGTATTAGTTATGATTTTCCAAAATTCCCTGGATTCTGGAAAGGCACCAGTGGATTGGAAACATGGTAATATGACACCCTTGTTGAAAACAGGAGATATGCATAAAGTGGGAAATTATAGGCCAGTTAATTTGACCTCTGTAGTGGGGACGTTGTTAGAATCAATCATAAAGGAATTGATCACTGAATGCTTGGAAAAACAAAGCTCAATTCACCAGCGTCAGTACAGTTTTACAAAAGGCAACAGCAAAGTTGCTGGAAAAGCTCAGCAGGTCTGGCAGCATCTGTGAAGGAAAAGACAGAGTTAACGTTTCGGGTCCGGTGACCCTTCCTCAGAACGGGTCTGAGGAAGGGTCACTGGACACAAAATGTTAACTCTGTTATTTCCTTCACAGATGCTGCTGGACGTGCTGAGCTTTTCCAGCAACTTTGTTTTTGTTCCTGATTTACAGCATCCGCAGTTCTTTAGGTTTTTACGAAGGGCAAGTCGTTTTTGACAAACTTGGAGTTCTTTGAGGATGTAACCAGCAAGGTGGATAATGGGGATCCAGTGGATGTGGTATATCTAGACTTCCAGGAGGCATGTGACAAGGTGGCGCAGAAAAGACTGATCCAGCAGGTTAGGTCCCAGGGTGTTAAGAGTCAAGTATTGGCTTGCATAGAGGATTGGCTGAGTGACAGAAAGCAGAGGGTCAGGATAAATGGGTCCTTCTCTGGATGGCGAACTGTAAGAAGTGGGATTCAGTTCTTGGACTTCAACTATTTGTAAATCATATAAGTGATCTGCAAGCTGTGACAGGGTGAAACATAGCAAAGTTTGTGGATGACACTAAAATTTGTGGGAAAGCAGGCAGCAATGAGGAGATAAAAAGTTTCCAGAAGGAGGCTGATAGACTGGGAAAATGGACCAGAATCTGGCAGATGGAGTTTAATGTGGGTAAGTGCGATGTTGTCTTTTGTGGCTGGAAAACTAAAAAGGCCAATTATTATTTAAAAGCAAATTAGATTCACAGTGTGTCAGTCCAGATGGATCTGGGCATCTTTGTTCATGAAAGTGCAGCATATAATAAGAAAGGCAAAAGGACTGGATTATAAAAGTAAAGAAATATTTAACAATTATATAAGGCATTGGTAAGACCATGCCTGGCATACTGTGTCCAGTTCTGGTCTGCTTACTAGAGGAAGGATGTAGTAGCACTGGAGGCAGTTCAGAGGAGGTTCACCAGATTGATTCTAGGAATGAAACAGCTGTTGTATGAGGAGCAGTTGAATAGTTTGGGCTTATATTCGCTGGAGTTCAGAAGAATGAGGGGGACTCGAATGAGCTGTATAAAATACTAAAGGGGATTGATATTGTGGACATTGAACAGATGTCCCTCTTGTACAACTATTTCAAACAAGAGGGCATAGAGTGAGAGGAGGTAGGTTCAAAATGAGATGGGAAGAAATTACTTTTCTCAGAGGGTTGGGAATCTGTGGAACTCACTGCTCCAGAGTGCAGTGGAGGCAGAATCAATCAACAGATTCAAGAAACAAACAGATACGTTTCTGATGAAAAGCAGGACAAAGAGCTATGGGGAGCAGGGAGGAGAGTGCAGTAGAGACCAGGATAAGATCAGCCATGATCATGTTAAATGGCAGATTAGGCTTGAAAGGCTGAATTGCATGCTCCCACTCCTAATCCTACGTTCCTATGATCCAGGTTACCTCAGGATGTTGATAGCAGGGATTCATTGATGAATGGATGATGGTTGGATTCTCTCTTGTTGGAAATGATCACTTATTTGTATTTGAGCAAGGTGAATGTTACTTGCTACTTGTCAGACTAAACCTGGAATTGTCCAGGTCTTGTTGAAGAACTGCTTCAGTGTCTGAGGAAGCATGAACAGTGTTGAACACTGGGCAATCACCCCCACTTCTGACCTTATGACGGAGTAGATTATTGATGAAGCTGTTGAAGATAGTTGGGCCTAGGACACTACCCTGAGGAACTCCTGCTGCAATGTCCTGGTGTTGAGTTAACTGACCTCCAATAACCACTACTATCTTCCTACATGCCAAATATGACTCCCAACCAGTGGGTAGATAATCAGATAGTACTGATGTCAATTTTCCAAAATGTGTCAAATTGTGGAAGGACTGGAAAGTAGCAATTCTCACCATTCTATTCAAGAGAGGGAGGCAGAAGGCAGTCAACTTGCTGTGAGTCATGTCAGAAACAATCATGAAGGAAGTTATAGCAGCACACTTAGAAAAGTTCAGGTAACCAGGAAGAATCAGCAAGGTTTTGTCAAAGGGAAATCATGTTTAATCAAATTATAGTGGGTTCCGTGAAGGAAGAACATGTGCTGCGTATAAGGAGAAATATGTACATGTACATGTACTTTACTTGGATTGCCAGAAGGCATTTAAAAGGAGCCACATGGAGGTTATTGCACAAAGTAGGAGCTAATGGAAGAAGACAGTAACATACTAATATGGATAGAAGATTGGCTGGCTGTCAGAAAACAGAGTGCGCAAGGGTCCTGACCCGAAATGTCAGCTTTCCTGCTTCTCTGATGTTGCCTGGCCTGCTGTGTTCCTCCAGCTCCACACTGTTTTATCTCTGACTCCAGCATTGGCAGTTCTTACTATCTCTGAGTGTGCTTTAGTGGGTCTTGTTCTGATCAGCAGGATGAGATGGAATCACACAAGGAACTGGGGCTGGGGCCTCAGTATATTATAATTTACATCAATGACTTAAATGAGGGAAGAGAAGGCATAGTAGCCAAACGCGTGCCAAGTTACTGAGTTATTGTTAGACCTTACTGCCTTGCTCTGTCTGTTAATATGAAAGAAACCTGTGCAGGTATTGTTGTACAATCCAGCATCTTGTCCAGGTAGCTCAGGAATCCAATCAAGGGGTTCAGGAGGAGTTTTATACAGAATAAGAGATATCCTGGAGTGAATTACAGCCAGAGTATTGGAGTGGGAGGATAGTTTATATACAGTTCCAGAGGAGATGACAGAAACAGAGGCTGATGCTAAAACTCCCATTTCAAGAGAAGTGGACAAATGATTCCACATCTGAAAGATCCAAGACCCAAGCTGCCAATTGTCCTCTAAAGGTCATGTCCTTGAAACACTAATTCTGTTCACCTCTCCACACATGCTGCCTAACCTGAGTATTTCTGGTATTTTTAACCTGTTACCTTGCAGAGTGCTGGAGGACACACTTACCCAGTGTGCTGTTGCTCAGTCCAGGCGACTTTGCTCTTGTGGTGAAACAGACAGTGGCAGTAACACAGGTGACATCTTTGCCACTTCTCTGGCAGTTTCGTTGGAGCATATTGATGGAAGCAGGACTGAACTTAACTGAGGCATTCACCTGGACCACACGTAGTATCCTAGAGTCAGAGGGGCAATAGGCGAGAATTTGAGGGATGTAGTAAGAAAATGTTTGAGTAGAGACAGTGTGCAGTAGAGACAGAAGGAGAGAGGGAGTGATGTTTCTGAGGAGTGTGCAGTGAAGAGACTGTGAGTACACCAGAGAAATTGATGGAGTGGATGACAGAGAGAGAGGAATAGGAGACAGAACAAGCATTAGATCTAATTGCACTACACAAGAAGAAACATGAGAGAGAGAGAGAAAGAGAGAGGGAGAAAATGGAAGACAGGGCAGGTAACATGCAGGACTCTGCAGCAGTAAAGAGAACAAGAGCCATTTGTAATGCTATATAGGAGTGTCTGAGTGAAATGGAAATTGTAACAGGCTTATTTTCTTTTTCGGTCTTCTGGATGAGAGGTGCTCTCCATATTTAATGCTCTCACACACCCTGACTGAGCCTTGTAAATAATTAAAGAGAGCTCCCACAGTGTTTGGAGCCAGACAGGTTCAGCTCAATTCCAGGATGCACAGGTAATGGCCGAGTTATAGCTTATTGCAGAAAGGCAGTTCATACCACAAAAATAATTCCAGTGACAACAGAATAAGACTGATGATTCACAAGACAGCAGCTGCGTCAGCATTACAGAGGCAGAGCTAATTGTTTGATGCCAATTCAGATTGTGACAGCTAAAGTTCATAGGTAACAGACTTTTACAGCCTCCAAGTGGATATTCATGCGTCTGATTAACTCACAGATTAGCACTGGTTAATGACTTTTGAGTTGTCAACCAATTTGGAAAACCAGGTTCAACTCAGAAATGTGAAAGGCGAGAGATTAAGGACATAATTTTAATGTTTAATTTATTCATGGGATGTGGGCATCGCTGGCTGGTCCAGCATTTACTGCCCATCCCTAATTGCCCAGATGGCAACCACATTGTGGTGGGACGGGAGTCACATGTAGGCCAGATCAGGTAAGGATGGCAGTTTCCTTCCCCAAAGGACCTTATTGAAATGGATCGGTTTTTCCAACAATCCACAATGGATTCATGGTCATCGTTGTCCTCTTAATTCCAGACTTTTGTTATTAAATTCAAATACCACATCTGACATGGCAGGATTAGACCCCTGGTCCCCATCACATTACCTGAGTCTTTGGATTAACAGTAAGCAATAATACCACAAAGTCATCACCTCCCCTAAAAAGGCAAACTGCACTTTGTTTCTTCGGGATAGTAGGAATGTCAGTCTGGATGCAATGATTAGCATCCTCTCTCTTGGGGGGAAACTATTGAGCTGAGGAAGGGTCACCGGACCCGAAACGTTAACTCTGATTTTTTTTCTTCACAGATGCTGCCAGACATGCTGAGCTTTTCCAGCAACTTCTGTTTTTGTAGCTATTGGGCTGAGGCTGATATAAGTCATTGGACAGTGATAGGCAGCAGGAATCCTGGATTCAGAGACAGTAAGAACTACTGATGCTGGAGTCAGAGATAGCACGGTGTGGAGCTGGAGGAGCAGAGTGGGCCAGGCAGCATCAGAGGAGCAGGAAAGTTGACGTTTCAGGTTGGGACCCTTCTGCAGAAATGGGGGAGGGTGAAGAGAGCTCTGAAATAATTAGAGAGAGGAGGGGTGGGGCTGGGGAAGTTAGGTGGGATGGTGAGTGTAGGATGATGACGATTGAACAATCCTGGATTGTTCAGTCTCCACCTCCTTCTCCTCCAAACACCACATCTGGCACACCCAAGCTATGGTTCAGCACAGAGCAGAGATTGTGCTTGTGTTGTTGATTTCAGGCTCGTCTCTTGATCAGTACCATTCCAGGTACAGCCTTTGTGTCCCTTGGGAAACTGAGTGTTAAATAAAGCTCAGGGTTAAATAAGACCTTATTCAGAAGCAGAACATAAAACCCAGTCCGGAGCCATGCCTGTGACTGACCCGAAGATGACAGCCTTGCCGAAAGCTCCCACTGCCACATCAATCAATCCATCTCCATCCACATCCATCTGGCCATCTGCACTGCGCCCAAAATACCAAAGTCCTGGGTCCACAGCCGAAGCAGCAATTCTCTGACAGAATAAAAAGTTACAGTAATCAATGCATGGGACATGTTGTGTTTCTCTGTAGGTAAAGATGACCACAGACTACAGACTCCTTACAGAATAAACCTTCTTTCACAGCAGATTTGAATGTGAGGCTCTTTTGAACACAGTTCACAATAACAGAGCTATCCAATCTATTCCGATTCAACGGCGTCTTTGAAAAAGCTCTCCAATTAATCCTACTCCTCACATCTTTCATAGCTCTACAAATTTCTTCTTTTCCAGTATTTAATCCCATTTCCCTTCTGAAAGTTGCTATTCAATCTACTTCCACCACCCTTTCAGATATTCCAGGTCAAAAACCTTAATGTGTGAAGAAGCATTCACCTCATCTCCCCTCTGCTTCTTCTGTCAAATATCTCAATCCTCCCACTGCTAGAAACAGTTCCTCCATAATTTACTCCATCAAAACCCTGTTCGATTTTGAACACCTCAAATAAATCTCCCTTTAATCTTCTCTGCTCCAAAGAGAATGATCCTAGCTCCTCCAGTCCCCACAATACCTTGAATAATTCTCCCTTTAATCTTCTCTGCTCCGAAGAGAATGATCCCAGCTCCTGCAGACCCTGTACACTGACCTGTTTATACTTTGGAACAATGGTATCTTGATGTCCATGATAAATATACACCGCACCACGATGACCATCTTCCAACGGGGCACCAACAACTACATCATTGAATGCATCGTAATTAAGGTCGGGAACAGCAATGAGGGTGAACCCGAACCGGGAATCCTGTGGCTTGTTGCTGATCTGTAGAACATCGCCGAATGAAAGGGAAAACTGCCAGGGACATGGAACAGGGGAAAACAACGTCAGTGATGTTTTCACATTGTACTCATATTGCTACAATATTAATCATTACTACTTGATCAACAGACTCTTCCTGGAAAACAAAGTTAAAATGTCCATACGATGAGTTGGCCCTTCATATACTGAACCTGTAGGCTGTGTCTGGGAACCAGGTACTGACAGGGAAGACTCAGAGGCTATTTCAGAAGGTGGTATCAGCTGCAGGACAGAAATGGAGCTTGGGAGATTAGGAAAATATGTAAACAGCTCATGTTGTAGTTTAGTAAGACAATTAATGACTAGAAAGTAAGGAACAGCTATGTGCCTACAGTAGTAAAGGTTAACCCAGCCCAGTGATAGATGCCAGCTTAGTCATCTTGAGTCTGCAGAAAATAGCCCGTATTAATTGCTGGGCATTTAGTGTGAGACTATAGAATAGGCGTACAAGAACAAAAACACTGTTAATTAAAGATTGTTGTTGCAAAACAATTTGTGCTTAAATAAGGTGGGAATTATTGTTAAAAGGCTACATGCAGCAACAGTAACCACTGGAGAAATTCTGTTCCCCTGAGAAACTGGGAAGACAATGTCCAAAAGGCATTTCACACAGGAGCTGACCTGTAGCACAGACCAATGAAATGAAAGTCTCTTCATTCAAACTCAAATCCAACAGGTAAAGTTACATGACTCAGTACTCCCAATGATGCTTTTCATGAAAGGTGTGTGTGTGCGTGTGTGCGTGTGCGTGTGTATATATACGTGTCTCTGGCAGAGAGAACCTGACACACAAACCAGAAGCTCCTGCTCACCTCCTGCACTCTGTAAATGTAGACTTTCCCAGTCTCTTTGCTGTTGGCTCCAAGGTACATGGGTGCTGCGACCAACAGCACATCCGTCACACCATCACCATTTACGTCCACTGGGCAAACCTCACTTCCAAAATAGGATCCAATCTGTAATAGAGCAGGTTTGATCAACTGATCTCATAATCAGAGACCTAGGGAAGTCAGCTCCTCGCTGAATCCAGTCATTCAGAGTTTTGGTCACAAAAATAAGAATCTTTAACTGAAAATATCCCACTAAGCAACTGCAAAATCTCCACATGACAATGTAATGATTTTACTGAAATGCCAAGAATTTCCAGGTAACCTGATTTACAAAGTCTATGCTGAGATAGTGTGTAAGAGTGCACCAGGATCTATCCCTGGGCAGCATCTGGGATGCTACAAATGAGTTCGATTTCCCTACATTAAAAGGGGAATCTACTCGCACTAATGGACTAAGAGCAAAGGAATGTGGAAATATTTAGCAGCATCTGTGGAGGGAAACAGAGTCAACAATTTGGGTCAATAAATGTCCCTCAGAACTGGTCAGCATTCCTCATCCATAGCATTCTGTTTGATTTGGTACTAAAGCTCATGAAATGTTGTGTTTATTTCCAGAGGCCTGGACTACAATGAGCAGGAAGTGACGCTTCAATTGTACAGAGCATTATTCAAACCTAACATTGAATAACATTTACTGCCAAACACCTCAGACTGCAGCAGAAATCCAGCAAATTATCATCCATGTTTAAAGGGTTAAATTACTTAGATTCAACAGGTATTTCCTTGAGAGTAGGCATGCGGATCAGGGTGGGATGCTCTTCGGAGGGCTGGTGTAGACTCAATAGGCCAAATGGCCTGCTTCCACATTGTAGGGATTCCATGATTTCACAGAGACAAAAGTGAGGTCTGGTCCCCACAGATCACAGAACGCTAGCTTTGGCCTGGTTGCATTCACTGTCAGAAAGCAGCAGTGACAGTGTGTGACTGTAAACGGGATAGTGCATACCCCTCACCTGTTCTCCAATTAAGGACTGATGTACGGTCAGATTGCCAACCTTGTCCAGATTGAAGAGGATGACCTTGCCTTTGTGTTTGAACCTCGGAGCCCCTGCCACATAGACACGTTGACCATTCCTTTGCCTCACAGATGACACAGTGTAGCCTGGAATGAGGAGAGAACATCAGATTCTGGATCTAGCAGATCATGGAACTGCTGCAGCACTTTCTTCTGAGCACTGACTCCCGGTTTATTGGGTCGCCCATTCTTGCCCACAGAATCCCTTCCATTACCAAGCTACCAACTGACGAAAACATTGGGTGGGTAGAGCCAGTGAAGAGGGGGGAGGATGGTTACAAACTCAGAGCTGCAGCCAACTAAACTAGTTTACAGCATTTTACACTTTGCAATTAAATGTGCTACACAGGAAGCTGACAATTACAACAAAGGGTTCCAGTCCTGCTCATTACCAGGACTAGAAGGTCTACTAGGGGGGCTCAATCCACCACAGCCTTACCAGTTACACAACACATACTCCTGTAATTCTTGCCTGTCACTGATGTTACACAGAGATCAGTGTAACCCCAGACAGCTTCAGAGCTGCAGGCAGCAGCATGGGCTTGATGGGCTGAATGGTCTCCTTCTATACAATCATAATAACAGCTTTTATAGGAGCAATGGGAACTGGTTTTCAATTGAAACCAAGGATTTAACTAATCTCATTTCATATCGTCAGTAACCCAGTCAACATTAGTTCAGGTTTCAGTGGAATCTTCATTAGGAAGCAGACTATGGTTGGCACTGGATCCACAACAGGGTGAGCCTCACCCCAACCCAACACACCACACCCCCACACCACCCCACCCCACCCCACCCCACACCACTTCACCACACCACACCCCACCCCACCCAAACACACCACACCCCCACACCACCCCACCCCAC